ACATTTCCATGGAATGGCCAAATAACGAAACGTTGTCTGTGGTCATTCGAGATGTCAATGTCATTCACCTGATTACCGGGTACAATGAAATTGTCAACGAGGCGAATCGATTGCGATACACTGAACTGCCGAAAACCAAACGGGGAAACACAGATACGAATGACGCACTTTGTTTTAAACCCAAATAATAATTAATGAGCGGCGTCATCTAATTTATTCCGAGGCAACCGACATAATGTGCGTTGTTCGGTGAATGGCGTAATTGAATCGCAAAGGAAACAAAAAGATGACTCTTATCGAGTGTTACATTATTGTTTAATATATCGCATACAGGAAAAGGAGGAGTAACGGTATTCCCCCTACTTCGAATAGTATTGGTGAAAATACGGATTCAAATCCTTGTATATATTTACCAAACAGTTGGCACATGAATTTGTCAGCGATCATTCTACGTATACAATGCTTTCGTCGAATGTTCACAGATACGTGTGATTTACGGGATGATTGAAATATTAACCTTAGTCTTGTTGTCCGCTTAATTTTGCGTGTCGGACCAATAATAATGTAAGGTGTTGCGCTTTTTGTAAACTTAGGATCTTGCATCGAGACGCAGAATCTGTGATGAGGAACGGTACGAATGAAAGCGTGAAAATGCTTTATGACGTCACAGAGATATATTTAGCGATGCACACCGCAGGAGACTTGTTCATTTGATTTGTTATAATTTTTAACATATTTCTAGTTTATTTTAATGTAATAACAGAATATTGTAAAGAGTTGAAATAAAACCGAGTGCTCTTTGAAATGTACATATCTGAACAACGAATCTACTACGTGTATCAGTCGAATTACTGTCAACTATTCGGTTTCTTCTTTCTCTAGTATACAGTACATAATGCGTAAACAATTGAATTTATTATTGACAATCGTTTAAATGAAATAAAAGAAATAAATTTCAAAAATACCCGTATCTTCTTCGTTAATTTGCTGACACACGTTAATCACGTGCTCCTCTGTCATATCGACGAAGTATCGAATTATTCGATTTTTGAAACTGAATTATCCTTCGTCAATAAATTTTTTTAATTATTGTTTCCGAAATTTCAGCATAAATCTTTCAAATTACGGATTTTAGAGTGTTAATGAGCAACTTGAGCAATAAATACTGATAATTTTAATCCACAAGTCGTTGATGTTAACTGCAATATTGTATTACAAAAAATAGTTAAAAATTTTTTAAATTATATAAATTTAATAAAAAATTAACACAGAGAAAAAAGTGATGCTGACTTACCTGAATGTTCAAAATGATCCTTGCTGGATTCCTTTTTGTGACGATTGACAGTTGCTAGGTCAAAATACTTATCTATGTATATATGAACATAACTGACGCCACTTTATGGCAATGTAGCTCGTATTATGTTCAACGACTAAAATTAGTAAATAACTGTTACATGTAGCAATTCTAATACTCAATCTTAATGTCAAAGCTCCACATTTCTGCTTTTTTAAAAAGTTGTAATTTGAATAGATATAAAAAGAAACCATTTCGTTTTACTATGTTTAAATAATATAACATAGTTGTTCAGTTTTCATATTTATTGTCCTTTGCTAAACTTTACGTATATGCATGTATACACATTATTGCAATAAATCTTTTATGAAATTTTTAAATAAAAAAAAATCGAATACCGATTCTGTTTCGTTGTCGATCAGTGTTCACCTGTCGATTGAACATTGTAATTTTTGGCTCGATCATTGGGTAAAGAAGTTTCCCATCGTCGGCGATCGCTGGACATCGCTGTCTGATAAACATCGAATGCCACGACAATGACTGATAAGACCACGACGAGTTCTATATCCAATTGAAACTGCACGTGTGGTCACAGACCTAAATCAGCCACCATTTGATACAGAAGAAATGTTCGTACTTTTACTTTGTGTGCTCTCATTTACGCGGAATACGATTGTATACCTTTCTAACACATTGTTCAACAAATCTGATCGGCGACTTCAACATTCACGCACCATTAACGAAAATAAGCCCTCTGAGGGCACCATGGACGGACAGGTAATCTCTATTAATTATTTTATCTTCATTCCGGACTTCGTTTTTTCTTGTTTTGGGTGAAATTTCTCTTTAGGGAACCTAGAACGAATGGAATGTTCTAAGCAGATTCCCCTTTCAAAAGTTCGGTAAAGAAACGTCTCGAAGGGCTTTTTCTTGATTATTCATAGACTCGTTTAACTTGACCGTTATTTTGAGAGAAACAAGTGTAAACGAAATATTGCATTCGTTTTGAAGTAAATTTCCTAGCGAAATGAGTTGCAACGATTTGATTTTCGATTGTTCGATTGCAAAGATCTTCCACTTTCTTGGGATTTTCGGATTTAAGGTGAATTCCATAATGAAAACGCTAAGATGTTGTTATCTTCTGTCAATTTTTGATGACAAATTCAAAGGTTTTTGAGTGGTATGAGATACTAATCAATTTAGCTTCCCTAGCGTATGCAATATTGAAAGCGTGGCACGAGATAAAGCGACAATAAGTGTAAATCTTAAAAATCTCTGTAAAAAGGTGTCATCAGGTCACGTGCAAGAGTGATTCATGGGAATTTCATGATTCAGTAGCAAAATTACTATTATCGGTTTTATAATCTCACGCATAGATCGATGATTCATACACCATATAATCACAGATAGAGCATTGTTTGTTGTCCATTGTTGCTGATAATTAATAATTGTCTGAAGAACAAGTGCGTTTTGGATTGTTGTCAAGATTTACTGAAAGTAAAAAAATCCTTTTCGCCATTTTATCTTCAATGTATTTTCCATTCATCCGTTGTTTCATCAATTTTTACGTCTATTTTCGTATTCTTTATTTATTTTTACACTTTTTTCTTGCGTAATTCGTTATCGGATTCGCAAGATATTGTGTGTTTCGAAATGAAACGGAAGTCTTAACGTATCGGGCCAAACGGAAAAAATATAATATTTCTTGAACGAAATTATTTATGCAAATACCCATTTTCAGAGAAGCATTGACAAGTTTTTTAATATCTACAGGTAATTGTACTATTCACTGATTGTTGTATTAGACTGTTAAAGTAAAATAGAAAAATTTCGAGTTTTCAAGATTATTTCTAACCTTTAAACGATCTTCTAAGATTCATGGCTTCCAAGAAACGATTTCTGTGTATTTAGTAAGCTGAGGTTTTCCTCGGGGGACTGAATTTGTTTACTTTTACTGCAACTTCCAATGATTCATGCGTCATCGTTTCCCTGACTGGAATAAATCCCTATTATTGCTTGACACGGATCAGTATATTATCATTGAAGACACCAATCGAAATCAAAAAGATGATGCGCTTATTTCGCCTCCGGTTGTTCATTACTTATCTTAATCGTTATTTAAGACGTTGAACAGGAACAAGAATTTGGCACAATGATAAAATCGTGCTCTCACGAATAATCTATAAATCTGTGTAAACTGTCATTTGTTTTCATATGACATCTGTAACTTTCATAAATTGTTAGTACGTAATTAACTTCTAACTATTCTCATGTATTATTTTCAATTTTAATCTCATAATTTTTAGAACAAAAGAAGAAAGTTATCTTTCTAATATTCTATCGTCGCGTGGCCGCCATCTTGTCGGCGCATCGCGTATGTAGTTTCACGCGGGAAGGGAGCACAAACAAAATATCTTTTATCTTTGCAACGTTCTCGTTTCTAGAAAAGAAACACTATAGACATAATATTTCAATGTATATAATTTTCTTTCAAAACAGAGAGGCAAGCCTCATGAACGTCTTTCTTGCCCTCGTGATCTAATTTTTCCGACGTCGCGTCTGGAAACTTCGATTATCTCTCCATCAGCTGTCTCGTCTATTAACGTTCGGTCTTTTTACAATCTCTACAAGAAAGATCGGGCTTTCCTTCGCGATATCGTTCGAGTTGCGGTCGACAAGCTATGGAAGGAAAAAACAGGGGAAAAAACAGGATACAAGGTGTAATGATACAAATAGAAGCTAGCGCGATAAGGGAGCAACCTTGAGAGATATCGAAACAATAAATATGTATCTATGTCACTGGAATATGCGGGAAAACAGGAAAAAGTACAAACAACATTAATAAATTGTCGATCAAACCATTCGAATTTCCATTGTTTAACGTTTCGAAGAAGAAACAATGGCAAAAACGCAAGGGAAATGTAAGGGAATATTTGTTTAATTTTATTGATCTCAGTAACAATCGCTTATTGAAGGTTTATCTGATGATAGGGTCTTATCTTGTTGATTATACTTTCGCGATAAACCGGCACGCTCTCTAGATAAATGGCGATCTCCGATTGATTCCTCGAAGATTTACTTTTCCGGAAATGACGCTCTCAGTAGGTGCATCAATGATCAATATACCTTGACAGATTACACCTGGAGTTTTTTCTCATGTCCCTTTTATACTATCCGATAAGGCAAACTGTGTCTTCGATCTGGAATCAGAGTGAATCATAGATGAAAATAATAGCTTGACAGCTAATTCAGAATTTCACCTTCGAATTTCTTAGGTTTCTAAACTTCAACAGAACTGTACTATTTTAGCAGGTTATCAAGCTATAAAAGTAGTTCTATAAGGATAGAAATCAGCCTAAAACTACGCGATCCTACAAGAACAGTTTCGAACACATATTTTTTTAATACAGACCCAAGACAATAAGAAATTGCAGAAGCTAGATGAGATTGACACCATCCCGACATTTTCGGAGAACAACCAGTCCTACGATGCTGACTACGTAGTGTAAGAGTAACTCTTTATGTGGTCTTAATATAAAAATTGAGTTCTATCATCGAGGAACGAAACTGCGATCGTTTAAATGAACGTTCGAACGGAATTAACGGAATTTCATTTGCGACGCAGGAAGCCGACGGTCTATGTAAAGTCGGTGGTAGGAAAAGACGACATGAACTACAACATGAACCACAAGAAGCGGGGGAGATGCGTGATTTTCAACAATGACAAATTCGAGATGCAAGGCTACGAACGCGAAGGGTCCGAGATGGACGTCATCGCGATCACAAGAGTTTTCCGCGATATATTGGGTTTCGAAGTGATCCCGCATAGGAATTTCACTTCCAGTATGATCCACCAAGCGATTAAAAAGCGTAAATATTTTCATTATTATTCTTCAATAGTTTCCTTTATGATTTTTATCGAAACTCTACACTTATCCAACCTATTTTCTCGTTAACGATGTATTGAACCATTGTATTTCATTTAGATTGCAAAGATCTTTCACTTTCGCTTCTAAAGTATAAAGAAGTAAATATTTATAACTATGTTGCGGTGATGATCAAGCTTGCCTTCTTGGTTCGGTAATCAGAATTTTATTGCTGACACGCGCAAACGTTTTCGGTTTACAGTAAGCGAGGACGATTACGAAGAAGAAGACTGCCTTTGCGTCTTCATATTAACACACGGATCCCACGGCGACTCATTGCACGCGCACGATTGCACCTACCCCCTGAAAAGCATCTGGGAGAAGTTCACCGGGGACAACTGCCATGCACTGGTCGGGAAACCGAAGCTTTTCTTTATTCAAGTAAGTGGGAAGTTGCTGTTACTGTCTATTTCAAGGAAATGCATCTATTGTGAGCTGCCGGATTTACAAGTG